AAGTAGATTGCCCAGTCTTCCTTCCATGGAGTGGCTGATGGTTTTGAACCGCCAACCTTCTGGTTAGCAGGCAAGTGCCTTAGGCACTCCACTACCAGAGCTCCTTATCCTAATGTTAAAATATAACTACAAAATGAACCATCAGATTGTCCAAACAATTAAATGTATAATGGCAATATTTTTAAAAGGAATACAGTAAAAGAAAATCCAATTCCTAGTATCAAAGTAGTAGCTTACCTGTTGAGTTTATTTTAGGAAGTTCTTTTTTTTTTTTTTGTTAAGTAACAGGAATGTCACATTGCCAGATTATTTCCCAACCCTACTTGGTGTCTCAGTGTCTGATGAAGGATGAACACAAAAGAAAAAGAGGGGAAAAGGAAGCTAAAATCACTCATAAAGGATTTACTTTCCCAGTTAGAACATTAGATAGGAGAAGACCACAAAATTATTATTATAGCTATAAATACAAACTATTCTTGAACATAACAGTCATCCTATAAAAATAAAGAAATTAACTGTGAGAATTTTTAGACAGGTATTTAATGAATATTTATTCATTATTATTAAGATTCCAACCAGAGGTTAGATAAGAATTCTGGTCATACCAAAAAGTATCAGTGGTTCAAAGTCATTAACAGGCCAAACAACAATACAAGCAACAGGATCCTGAAATGTCAACAGGTGGGTTTTAGTCTCAGGCCTGTGAGATGGGGGAAGGGAATGAGCCTTCTTTGTCTTTAATTTCACCATTTATAAAGTTCAGGTTATGGCAGAGCTCATAATGATTCAACAATATCCACTATTCAAGTCACTATTAACCTTCAGAAACAAGTGAAGGACAAGCCAGTAGATGTAAATGAAGCCCACACTTAAAATGCTGCCTCCCTGCAGCTGTGAACAATTTCCGCAAGACTACTTCTGGAGTGATACCACCTCAAAAACCCAAGGAGGGGTCGCTACGAGTCAGATACGACTCAATGGCAGTGCGTTTGGTTATATATGTATGTATGCGTATCAATCAAGCATTTGGTTCCATAAGAGAAAGGCTTTATTCAAAGCATGAGTTGAGATTATTTGGGGACATTTCATAGACAAAAAAAAGTCTTGAAAGACCAGGGACAGTGTTTGGACAGATTGGGAGTTTTAAAGGGTGCCCAGGAGATGAACAGAGACAAAAATGATGTAAGTGGAAACCAACATAGCACATTTCCAAGGAAGGAAGCAATGGAAAGAACAGGTTATATGGAAGTCAAGGTTCAACAATGGGGTTCCTCAGGTCCTTCCATCACTGATGAGGAAGAAAGGAGTCTAACTTACATGATTAATAGCTCTTACTCTAGCCAAACAGAAGGACAAATAAAAAGACCATTTCCTGGCATGAAGTATCCAACACTTCTTTTTTTTTTTTTTTTTGAGGAATTTTAAGCATAATGTTAATATTGAGGATACTGTTCAAAATAAAGGCAAGAAAAACCCCCAGAAGACATGGGGAAATATGGAAAAATTTCCCTCCTGTCAGTGTGAGGACTGCCACTCCCAGACAACCACTGCTGCAGTTCAGTGGGCCTTATGAAGACTCAAACACAGAAGGAAGGTGTACTGTGCTGAATCATGCCCCCTCAAAGTTCATGTCTCCTTGGAACCTCAAAATGTGACCTTATTTGGAAATAGTAATTACAACTGTAGTTAAGAGGAAGTCATACTGGATTAGGGTGGGTCCTAAATTCAATATGACTGGTATCCTTGTAAGAAAAGGAGAGAGAAAGACACAGGGAAAGAATAACATACAGGACAGAAGGCCATGTGGCAAAAGATGCAGAGACTGAAGTGATGCAGCTACAAGTCAAGGAATGCTGGCAACCACTAAAGCCAGGAGAGAGACACGGAGCAGACTGTTCCCTAGAGCCTTCAGAAAGAGCATAACCCTGTTTATAATTTCATTTTGGACTTTTAGCCTCCAGAATTGTAAGATAATACACTTCCGTTTTTTCTAAACCACTGAGTTTGTGGTAATTTGTTGCAGGAGCCCTGGGTAAGGCAAGGAGCAGTCATTCCCATCTCACTGGCTGAAAGCAAACAAGCACAAGGCTCTGTGAGAAAGGAGCAATAAAGTAATAATGGAAAACCAGGTTTTCCAAGCATCTAGGCCCAACTCCTATGATACCACGTTGCCTAAAGGGCAAAAGATGAAACACCCTAGAAGTCTAAGAATAATTTTCATAATTGTACAAAAATTTTAAAAAACAAAATACCAGTGATCTGTATCAAGTTACTCAAGTTAATCTGTCCATCCAGTAGTGCATTTTACTGCTAACCAGAAAGCAGGCAGTTCAAACCCACCAGCCTTGGAAAGAAGATTGGGCAATCTACTTCAGTAGAGATATGGCCTTGGAAACCCAAGGAGGGGTCACTATGAGTCTGAATTGACTCAACAGTGAATGAGTGAGTGAGTAAGTGAAAGTTAACCCAGCAAACAGTTTTTATTTGCTTGGGTTACAAAATTGGATGAACTAATGACTTCAAAGATCAAAAAACAACACTGTTAGCTGCCAGTGGGCTATTTAAGAGAACTTCCTCTATTGGTTCAAAGTAAAATATTCTTTGAGAAAAAAACAGCAAAATCCAGTTTTTGTATCATTCCTTAGAATCAAATATCAAGCTATGAAAATGGGGATTTACAAAATAAAAGTATAAAGGACGTTAAAATTTTAGGCTCAACATACTTGTCTCATATGTGAGATGAAAGCTACTCCCATAAATATTAATAAAAGCTGTCATAAATTCATTTAAATGATGAAAATATTAAGAGGTAAGGGAAATTACTGTTAAGATTCAGTCAAGTATAACTTAGACTACTAAAACAAAAATACAACACATTTTACATGTAAGATAATACGGAGTTTAAATACAATCAGCAATCACATATCCATAAAAAATAGCAAATATTCTTTGTTTAAGGCATCTTTTAATTTAAAAACTTTCAGAACTTTCTATTCTATAATTTTTACCATCGGTATTACCTAAGGAGGTTTGGTATATGAACCCGCCTGCTGCCACTGAGCTGATTCTGACTCTTGTTGTTGTTGTTACGTGCCATCGAGTTGGCCCTGACTCATAGTGACCCCTCCTTGAGTTGCCGAGGCAGTATCACTACGGAAGTAGATTGCCCAGTCTTCCTTCCGAGGAGTGGCTGGTGGGTTTGAACCGCCAGCCTTCTGGTTAGCAGTCAAGTGCCTTAGGCACTATGCTACCAGAGCTAAAGGACAGAGTAGAAATGCTCCATAGGTTTTCCCAAGTTGTAATCCTTATGGGAGCAGAATACCACATCTTTCTCCCATGGAGCAAATGGTGGGTTTGAACTGCTTAGCAGCTGAGTGCTTTAACCACTGCACCACCAGGTTCCTTTTGGTGTGTGATGGCATATTAAAATTCTTTATTTCAAAACAAGAATTTTCAAATGGGAAAATACACATCTATAATGAATTATTTTTATTTTTTAATTTCTCTTTAGAAAAAAAGTAACGTAGCTAAACATCAAATAAAAGTAACGTGAGATTTTATTGTCATTTACTGTTGCTGTAATGAAGTCATTCATTTCTAATGCTCACCCTTTATGAAACTTTGTTTTACAATTAATTTCTGTCTTCTAGTCAGCCTATTAACATAGTTATTACATTAAATGTCCTTGAGATCAGTCTTGTCAAATTACCATCTAATTTCAAACAAAAGATGGACTATAAATCAAAAGAATATTTGATTTTTTAGAACCTTTTTAACATCAAAAATTCAAATTTTGGACCATTTATTGACTTTAAAACTTCTCCTGGCACATTGGATTTAAGTACAGATATAACAAGTTATTGTTTGGAAGCTAAGATCGCCACTAATTTTAGATAGTTTTGAAGACTGTTCCTTCTAAACAGCCACTTCTCTCTCAAAACCTTTTCTGGAAAGCTCTGGACTGAAATCTTCTCTTAGCTACCAGGGCTGCCAAGCACCTAGGCCAAAAGAAAGCACCTGATTTTCCTGATCACATTTATCTAGAATGCATGGTCAGTTATAAACCACTGGATGAAGATGCTCAAAGCTCAACACCTCTAGAGGAACACATAAAGTCCCCTACAGACATCCAAAAAGATTCCCTTTTATCTTGAATTGCCTCTGCCTGCTACCTGTCAACATTAGATGGAGTAGTAGCTTCATCAGTTTTTTTCAGATACAAAGACAATCTTGTTTTTATTCATTTCCCATCCCTCCCCCAAAAAAAGTTTTGCTCAGAAAAATAAGGGATAAAAAGTTTGGGAAGTGCTGATAACTGTAGTCTAAAAAACATGTGAAAAACTTTACCTTTAGCTGGCCAGTGATGTTGCAGCAGCTGACTGTCTTACCATGCAAGAGACTAAGTTCAGGGTCAGACTAACGATTCTGACGTCCTGGGCTGGACACATAGTTGAAGTGAGACACCAAGGAAGAGACGGCCAGCCCAACCCCTCACACAGCGTCCCTTCCTGGTTAATCCATGGGGTGATAATGAGACTGACTGGCCTCATCCTGCCAATGAATGGCAAGGCACTGCAAGGATGGCGCCTGGAAATGAATAGGAGTGATTGGGAATAAAAGGGGGAGGGGGAAAAGGTGGCCATGATGAAGAAATAAATAAAACTCCAAACTTCTGTTACAACTCACTGTCATACCTAACACTCTGATACCATAATGAAAAGGGGGAAAAGAAAACAAACAAACAAATAAAAATAGAAACAAAGAAAGAAAAAGAAAAATTGCTACCTATTTTAATTTTTGTAGCATTCTAAGACTTTGGGTTTGTAGCCTACAATCTGACTACACAGAACTAGAGAAAGAGGTTGATTCAAGTTAGCTCATAAACCTATAGCACAGAAAAGAGTACTTTTATCATCAGTGTTTTTAAATTCTGATAGCTTTGTTTTACTTTTTACTGTAGCAAAAACTCAATCCTTGCTATGAAAACAGACCATACTTACCAAACGATTCCTTGAGCTCCAGAACCAATTGGTTTCAACTGTTGGTAGCGTTTTAGGACAGTGAACGTTGAGTCTGCCACTTGAACACTGTAAAACTGACTATCACATTTACTGTCACTCATGATGTAGTATCATACAGTATTCCAAAGAACAGGGATAGTCGTCAGATTCCTTAAAAGAAAAACAGAACAAAGATATACTCTTCCTGAAATTGTATACATAGTTCACCTAACAGCATTTCAAACTTATCAGTATATAACAGAATGTGGCCATGAGTTAAAAATTCACTTTGATCACATTCTGAACTTAACACATGAAAAATGCAAAGCATCTCAGTGGTATAAGACCTTCATGGAAAGAAGGAACTTTAAGGTACAGTGTGACCATATTTCAAGGGACTAGATGAAACAAGTAACAATCTTTGTTGGAAATAATTACACATTTTTACCATCTATCACAAGACTACATCACTATATGCTTGTCATTAGCTTGTTTCCTTGGGGTAACAGTTTATGCCTAGTTGTCTCAACTAGAGATGGAGGTACTGTTTCAAAATTATCACTTCTAGAATTGCTGCAGGAAAACAAATGGACCAATATTCTGCTAAGTTTTCTACTAAGTTAAAAAATTCAGGTTAAACTGATGAACCAGAAAACAGGATTGATACATCAAAGTGACTTTAAAAAGGGACTTGTATCTAGAATATATAAAGAACTTTACAACTCAATAATAGTAATAATAAAAATTGTCAGAACAGCTGGATTTCCACATGCATAATAAAGTAAGACTTGTAGCTCATATCATATGAAAATTAATTCAAAATGGACCAAGGACCTAAATAGAAGAGCTAAGACCACAAAACTTTTCAAAGAAAACATAAAGGTAAATCTTTAAGACTTTGTATTTGGCAATGGATTCTCAGATATGACACCAAAAAAACACAAGCAATGAAAGACAAAATAGATAAATTAGACTTTACCAAAATGAAAAATTTTTGTACATCAAAGGATAATATCAAGAAAGTGGAAAGAAAATATACAGAATGGGTGGTGGAATATTTTGGAAATGGATAGTTGATGGTGGCACAACATGAAAAAATATCATCGAAGTCCCTGAGCTATAAATGTGGAAGTTATGTTGGCAAATGTCTTGTTGTGTATTGTTTTTACCACAATAATAATAATAAAAATCCACAGAATGGGAGAAAATATTTGGAAATCATATATCTGATAAGAGTTTAATATTCTGAATATATATAGGACTACTTCAACTCAACAACAAAAAACAAACAACCCAATCAAAAAATGAGCAAAGAACTTGAATAGACATTTCTCCAAAGGCAATATATAAATGGCCAATAAGCACATGAAGAGATGCTCAATGTTATTAGACATTAAAACCAAAATAACCAAACCTGTTGCCATAGAGTCAATTCTGACTCATAGAGACCTTATAGGACACAGTAGTACTGTTCCATATGGTTTCCAAGGCTGTCTTAGAAGAAACACAGCCAGACTGCTCCTTAGAAACGAAGATGGCAATATTTAGTCCCATGTACTTTGAACACGTTATCAGGAGGGACCAGTACCTGGAGAGGGACATCATGTTTGGTAAAGACCAGGGTCGGCAAAAAACAGGAAGACCCTCAACGAGATGGACTGATGCAGTGGCTGCAACAATGGACTCAAACATGGCAATGATTGTGTAGATGGCACTGAACCAGGCAGCATTTTGTTCTGTTGTACACAGTGTCGCTATGAGTTGGAACTGACTCAATAGCACCTAACAATAACAGCAACAATCTTTATGGAAGCAGACTAGTACATCTTTCTCCCATGGAGTGGCTGATGGGTTTGAACTGCTGACCTTCTGGTTAGCAGCCAAATGCTTAACAATGTGCCATCAGGGCACCTTCATTAGACATTACAAAAAAAAAAAAAAAACCTCACTGCCACTGAGTAGATTCCAACTCACAGCGTCCCCCTTTGAGTTTCTGAGGTGGTAAACCTTTACAGAAGTAGACTGCCCAGTCTTCCTTCCGTGGAGTGGCTGGTGGGTTTGAACCACCAACCTTCTGGTAAGCGGTCAAACGATTAGACATTAGGGAGATGCAAATCAAAACCACAACGAGATACTACTAAAAAATCAAACCATGCTCATTGCTGTCTAGTCATTTCCGACTCGTAGTGACCCCTCCTTGGGTTTCCGAGGTAATATCACTACAGAAGTAGATTGCCTAATATTCCTTCCAAGGAATGGCTGGTGGGTTTGAACCTCCAGCCTTCTGGTTAGCAGTCAGATGCCTTAGGCACTACACCACCAGAAAATAATTATAATAAATAAACAGAAAGTAACAAGTATTGACAAGGATGTGGAGAAATTGAAAGTTTTGTTCATTGCTGGTGAGAATGTAAAATGGTACACACACTTGAAATACAGTTTGGCAGATCTTCAAAAAGTTAAACATAAAACTACCATATGATTCAGCAACTCTACTCCTAGGTGTATACCCAAAAGATCTGAAAACAAGGACTCAAACTGACACTTGCACACCAATGTTCACTACGGCTCTATTCACAATAGACAAAAGGTGGAAACAATGTAAGAGTCCATCAACAGATGAATGGATAAATGAAATGTGATATATACTTACCCACCATACAAAGGAATGTTGTTGTTATTTGCCATTGAGTCGGATCTGACTCATAGCGACCCGTCCTTGGGTTTCTGAGGTGGTATCACTACGGAAGTAGATTGCCCAACCTCCCTTCCGAGGAGTGGCTGGTGGGTTTGAACCGCCGGCCTTCTGGTTAGCAGTCAAGTGCCTTAGGCACTATGCCACCAGGGCTCCTACATAAAGGAATAAAGTTCTAATATATGCTACAACATGGATAAGCCCTGAAAACAGTATGCTAAGTGAGAAAAGCCAGTCACAAAAGACCACATTTTACATGATTCCATTCACATGAAAGTCCAGAACAAGGAAATCTATACAGTGACAGAAAACAGCATAATGGTTGCTGGGGGGATAAGAAGGTGAGTGGTGATAGCTAAGTGGTAAATGATTCCTTTCTGAGGTGGTGAAAATGTTCTAAAATTGACTGTGGTGATGGTGGCACACACCTGCACATATACTAAAAACTCCTGAATTGTATACTTCAAATTACATGGTATGTGAATTATATCTCAATAAAGTTGTTAGAAAAACAGGTTGCTAGACAGCTATGGTGAAAGGGTGTTTCCCTTGCATCTGTGGATGGGCTCCTGCCTGCCAAGAGTGGTTGAGGAGCTGGACCTGCCCTCCCTATACTTGCATCAATAGAGATCTCTATATGCAGAAAACTTTGAAACCTACTGTCAATAACCAATAACGTAGATGCTACAAAGTGTATTCACCCATGTGTGTGTGTTGTTGTTGTTATGTGCCGTCGAGTCAGACCCGACTCATAGCGACCCCTTCTTGGGTTTCTGAGGCAGTATCACTATGGAAGTAGATTGCCCGATCTTCCTTCCAAGGAGTGGCTGGTGGGTTTGAACCTCCAGCCTCATGGTTAGCAGTCAAGTGCCTTAGGCACTATGCTATCAGAGCTCCCAATGTGTGTGTACAGATTAGCAATCATGGAAAGTAGCCTTTCCATGATTTCAGCAATAGATTATAGATTGTTGCTCTGCAGGAGTTTGACTGACTTTATACAGAAAATAAACAGAAATCAGCAGACAGCAACATTCATTTCCTGGTTTACTTTCGTAAATAAAAAGCTATTTATTTTGGTATTTCTTAAAATCAAAAAGCCAAGAATAAATTCATATAGGTATATGTTCTATACTATTTAAAAGCATAGAATTTAAACTTTATTCTACAGTGTTTTACCAAACTCCTCGTTTCTGTGCTGCCACCTAATACTTAATGTCTGTCAATGGAGTTCTTTGTGGTGAAAATTTATATAGCAACACATTGATGTCCAGAATTTCCATTAAACAAGAAAATAAATCAATTAACAGTAAAGCAGAACAATATATTTAAGTCCAATAAATAGTTCTCCAACAGGTCACTGCTTCACCTTTTTCTAACCATCTTAAGGAGAGTTGTATTACTAGCTATCTCTACTTGAGAGCTGTTGGTCCCTGCCCTGCGGAGTGCCTCTGGGAATACCAGCACTACATTTTTGTTGTTATGGTTGTTAGATGCCATTCAGATGGTTCTGACTCATAGTGAATCTATGTACAACAAAACGAAACACTGCCTGGTCCTGTGCCATCCTCACAATTGTTGCCATGCCTGAGCCCATCATTGTAGGTACTGTGTCAATCCATCTCATTGAGGGTCTTACCCCTTTCCTGCCATTCCTCTGCTTTACCAAGCATTATATCCTTCTCCATAGATTGATCCTTTCTGACATGACCAAAGTACGACAGACAAAGTCTGGACATTCTCACTTCTTTTTCGTGGTGTTGCTGATTTCTTTGTTCCATATAATTTTCTGGGTGGAGCTTGTTTTGTTTATGAATTATGTTATCACTTCCTCTGTTGCTATTGTTTTAGTATTTGCTAAATATTTGTGCTTGTACCTTTTTTTATTTTGATGTGAAGGTTTATCATTTTTCTTTGAGGCTACCCTGTGATTTATAGTTTTCTTCCCAACTTTAGAACAGTCCATTCTATCTTGTAGTTGTCTTGACTTCCTTACTACTTAGAAGTTCTGTAACTACACAATATTTCCCCTCTTTTAGATTTGTAGTTATCCTCATTTGCCAACTGATGTCTCTGGTTCCCTATTTACAATACTGTAGGCTCATTTACTTTGGATACTTCCATAACTGGGTTGGTTTCTGGGTTGTGTCATCATGTGTGTTAATAGTCAGTTGTTGTTTGCTATTGTTGGTTCTCTGTCCAAAGGACTCCCCCTTTAGCATCTCTGTAAGATTGACCTGGTTTTAGCAAATTCCCTTAAAGTTTTGCTTATCTGGAAATGTCCTAATTGCACCATCATATTTGAAGGACAATTTTGCTGGGTATATAACTCTTCATTGGAAACTTTTTCTTTCAGTGTTTTATATACACCATCCCATTGTCTTCTTACCTGCATGATTTCTGCCAAGAAATATGAGCTTAGTCTTATTGGTTGCCCCTTGTAAGTAACTGCTTTTTTCCCATGCTGCTTTAAGGATTCTT